GACTCCATTAGTCCTTGCCAGTTACCGCGGAAGTGACGAGCACATAGGAAGGTCGCACATCTTTCACACACCATAATTTTCTCCCAGACAGATAGAGGAGGTGATGGCCAACAGATACGGATGCAAAGAATGAGCATATGTTCTTACAAGGCTGCCATCCCAGAAGGCTGGCAGATACGTCACACATCTACGAGCCTGGGAGATTGATTAGTCTTAGTGGCCACATACTGGGCCTTCAGATAGCTCAAACTCAGCCATTTCTTTTTTCAGTGTATTTAGTACAGGACCTACAGGGTCTCACTACACAGATCAGACTTGTAGTAATCCTTCCTGCTTTTCAGCCTCCCAATTGCTGGAATTACAGGCACGGGGATCCCAAACCCAGTCTCTCTCTCCATCTCACTGCACCCCGGGGGCAGGGCTGGCACAGCAGGCTGGGGATCAAACCCCCGGCCCCTGAGTCTGCCTAAGCGGGTGCTTTAATCCGCTGAGCTACCTGGTCAGCCCTTTACCTCAGTCATTTTTACCACTGTCTTCCCACAAAGTGTGGAATGACCTCCCAATTTTCATAATTACAAAGTATGCTACAGGACAATTATTTTTCCACTTCTAAGGATCATTTCTTTAATATTTACACCCCAATTCTAATCACCTCAAAGACCAACAAAACCCACTGCTGAGGAGCACAAGAAGGGCTCACCATTCCTCACCGCCTTCCCCAGCCATGGTGCGTGGGAAGCTGCACGGCTAACCACCACTCTGCTTCAACATGACACATCATGTTTTTTTTTAAACTTTACTAATAAATTTGAAATGAGTCCTTATGGTTTAATTTGCTTATCTTCCATAACAGAAAGCTAACGATGATTCAGAAGTCCTATTTGGGGGCTCTATTTTTGCTGACTTCAAACAAAAGTTTTTCATAGAGACAGAAAGGTAGAGCCCCCTAAGTATGATATCTTATGATAATTTTCAAAACCTTAGAAGAAAATGCAACTTGTTGTTGTTGTTGTTGTTGTTGGTGGTGGTGGTGGTGGTGGTGTTGCTGGTGGCCGTGGTGGTGGTAGTACTGAACTAAACCCTGGCCCTTGAGCATTCTAGATGAGTGTCCTGTCTACAGGCCTTACACACCCCAAACGCACACAGTCTCATCCAGCAGAGTGTGCCCCCAGTAAGGTACCTGGGTGGACCGCAAGAGTACAGTTTGGGGAATAGAACTGGAAGCCAGATGGCCACAGTAGTAGGGATAGTAAGAGGTCCTATCACACTAGTATCTACTATGTACCTAATCTCTTTTATTTCATTTAACTCTCATTTAAAAAATCCTAGAGATGTAAATATTATTGGGATGCTGCATGCTAAAAAAAATACTGGAGCTGGTGGGTCGCTTGCCTAGCAGGCCGTTCTGCTAACACTGCATGCCTGGATTTGCTAGTGTCTGGTTCCAAAGGACAAGGAAGGAGCTGGGTTGATCCGGGGCTAGCAGCAGCCAGGCAGGCCGGCAGGGGTCAGAGCTGGGTGGCCTGTGCCCCTGGAGTCCTGGCTCATGCGAGCAGCTTCTCAGGCAGGCACTGGTCTCAGCTGGGTCAGCTGGCAGCCTGCCCCCTGGTCGTGCTGGGATGAAGGTGACCCCCAGCTGGAGCATGAGGCCAAACTATTGTCTGCAGCTCCATAGAAAGCCATTTGAAAGGGTCACTGAAAAATGATCTTTCTAAATCAAGCTGTACCAATATTTTTATTTCCTGTCATGTCATGACACATTTAAAGGCGTTAAAGCCTGGGAAACAAATCTGTGAACTTAAAACTCAGAAAAACAAAGGGTCCCACCCTTGAAGGGAGTGCACAGGCCGGATGACATGAATTCTCTGCAGAATGAGTCCTTGTTCTTGGGACCTCAGGGAAATGCAGTGAGAAAGTATCTACAAATCCAAAACAGTCTTTGTAGAATTGATGTCGTACACACTGGCATTTACACATATTAGATCCCCTGATCATGGTTCTAATTATTTTTTGAAATAAGAAATTGACAGAGAAGGGCCAGTGAGATAACTCAGCACACTAAAGTGCCTGCTTTGGCAAGCTTAGGCAAGCACAGAGACTGCAGTTTGATCCCTGCAGCCACATGTCAAGACAGCCCCGCCCCCAGGGTGGGCTGAGCTGACCACAGAGTCTGGGCATAGTGGCACACGCCTGTAATCCCAGCACTGGGGAGGCTGAAAAGAGGAGGATCACTATGTGTCCAAGCTGTGTAGTGAGACCCTGTAACAATCAAATACATTTTAAAAAGAAGAATAAGAAAGAAATGGACAGAGAAATTTAGGTTAATTGTATGGTTTAGAATTTATACTCTGAATAAGTGGTAAGTCTGTTTCTAGTTTGGAACTGACTCTGTGTAGTATTAGAGAAAAAAAATCCAGAGGTTTGCTTCTCAACTAAGACAATAATAAGTAAAGTGGGGTATCTACTGTCCTGTGTATTGGGGTCACAGGGCATGTCTTCACTGTTCACTCTCCCCAAAAAGCCCATTTCAACAGTGAGACATATGAATTGTGAACACCCAAAATTTAGGACGGGCCACTGATATAAGAATGAGAAGGGCCAGGGAGATGGCTCAGTAGGATAAGCGTTTAACTAGCAAACGCAAGGATCTGAGTTCAATCCCCGGTTCCG